TAAATGGCTGAAGAGCAATCGGATGCCCATCAACTGTATTGCTCCAGATGCAAAAGACATTTGAAAAATCAGCCTCTCATATGGGGTGGGCATGTGTGGAATCGGAAAGAGTTTGGCTGCAGTGGGCGAAGCTGTGGGCTAAACACGTGGAAGGCTCAGTCAAGTGGGAGGAGGACTTCATCGTCAATGGTATCCTGGAAAACGTACATGAGGCAGGGAAGGGCTGGGCCTACGTGGCTGTAGCATGCAGAGCGGGCATCATGAGCGCCATATGGAAACTCAGAAATGAAAGATACATTCAAAGTTTTACTCTGATTTCTGTAGGTTTTTTTTTTTTTTTTTTTAACAAAACAGGGCCTTATGGTCCTGGCTCCTTCTATTCTGGGGAGCGTCAGTCCGGTTCCTATTCCACTGGCAAGTCAAAATAAACATTACATCAAGAACACTCACACACACTTCCTTCCGTCAGGCCGAAGGATCCCTGAACAGCATTGATTGCTCCACCGCAGTGGAGGATTGACTGTCAGCTTGCCCTATCCCACTCTTTCCTCTCAGACCTGGGGTCCAGGTCTGCCAGATAGCGCCATTGTCCCTAGAAACAAGAAACAGCTCATCCGATATCAATGCCGGCCTGTATCTTCCCCACACACCTCCCTGCCCCTATGGAAGATCTACTCTGATTTCTGTACTACGTACTCGGCCTCAACGTCGGCCTGGGTCCGAACAGGTAGCAATCTGTTCGAAAACAAAAGAAAAGGTCCAAACGTTTTTAGGAGCTCAGCCTCTGGGCCTGAATCTGGCCCTGGTCCTAAAACGTGTACCTGGCCACAAAACGGACAACAGTACAACCGTTAGAAAAACAGCAGCAAATAAATAAAAAAAATATAAAATAATCTAAAGCTGGCGTTTTTCTGATGCAGGCCCAAGTAAAATTGCCATAGGGCCTTCAGGTTGCGGTGACACGACCTGGGGGCCCTATTCCAACCTCGGGTCCCGTGAGGGGCCCGTGTGTAGGCTTTCAGCATGTAAAAGGGATGTTGTGCGACTCTGTGAAAGCTTGCGTGTTTGTTCTTCCGATCTTCTCAGGTGTAAGGATTTGAACGTATTGTTGAGTTGCGCGGTTTGTGGACTTATTCTGGCAGGGTTGGTTCCATGGGGGAGTAAGTTAATCAATTTTAATACTGAGGCTAATTCTGATCGCTGTTGGGTTGACGAGGGTTGGAAAGGGCCGCTGGTGTACGTGGTATTTTCTCCGTGGGCTCGGCACATGTATGTTGGCAGTACGAGAAGGGACCTGCATTCTCGATGGAGGGAACAGGACCTGCATTCTCGATGGAGGGAACACGTTTACCGTGCTTGTCAGTTGACTTTGATCGAGAAGGGTAGACGAAATGAAAAGTTGTATCGATGGCTGCGAAGGTGTGGGGCGCATACGTATGTGGCTATTCCACTGTGTAGATGTTCGGAGGAAGATTTATTGGCTACGGAGAAGTTTTTTATCCGACTTTTGTCACCTGCGTTGAACAGCCGTGATAAGCCGAGTCGGTCAAGAAGGTGTAGACCTGGGCTGAAAGAGCGTTTGAAGGCAAAACAGCGGAAGGTGAGTAATATCGGTGTGGGTACTGGAAATTCCTCCACGACCATTGGAAAAAGCTCTAGTCTCGTCCTCTTTCATTCTGCTGATGGGTATGTAACGAGGAGTCTTCTCAGTATTCTGGAATCCTGTAAGAATCTGTTCTCGCATCAAACAGTGGTTAAGTGTACCGGTGGTGCCTTACTGTTAGACCATTGGAAGGTGTTAAAAAGACTATTTGGTGGAAGTATTGTATCCAGCGAGTATGGGAGGATTGAACTTCGGCATGCTAGGGGATGGCTGAAAGGGGGATTGACGTTGACCTTTGAAACTATCGTACCGTTCTTGAGTCGCTCTTTAGTATTGAAAGGGCCGTTGGTTGAGTTTTTGAGAGATCCTGAAGTCGACAAATGTTGAAAGTGTGGGAGTTTGATAAATTGATTGTTGCTTACACTGCGATCCGTACATTTAGCGAGAAGAGGACAAGGTTCAGACTGAGGTGCGTTTTGTCACACTCAATTTTTGCCAGATTCGGTGTTCAGGTCAGAAAGAGGATTGTGATTCGTGTTGTGTTTGATGATAATCTGTGCAAATCCAAGATCAGGAAGCTCTGTGCCTTCATTATCTCGCAAATGACCGGTAGGGCTAATCGCCATGTCCGAGCTTCATGTTTATCTTAAATCTGAAAGTCGCTTTCGGGACTCAAGTCGTCTATATCTTCCTCTTCCTCCATTGTCTAGTCTATCATCTTCTTCTTCGCTCTGTCTGTGTATGTCGTCATATGAATGATTGTTGGTAGATTGCCTTCATCAACTGGGTGATAACTTAACACACTCTTCTACTAGACCACTGCGCCGCTGACAACCGAGTGTGCTGGTTATACCCCTGGCACTCTCTAGCCTCCCCCTAACTGACCGAGATACCCTGGTCCCCCTAATAAGGCAGGCACCGGTCTCGGACCTGGAGATCAAGGCACCGGTCTCGGACCTGGAGAGGGTTGAGAAGAGCGATTTGGGCGGAGGAAAGCCAAATGCAAGAAAGGGCCAAGACAGCTTTGGTGGTTTTTGAGATCCTGGGGCAAAGTCAGTCGGCTGGCGAGGGTACACTCAGCCCGGGGCCTGGTAATTTCGAAATGGCTGAGTAACTAGGTCTATTTTGTAGTACTAGTGTACTAGGGTAGACTATTGGTAGGGAGGTTCACTGGGTACTTGGCTGTTCTGCGATGATTGAATTGGGGGGGGGTTGAGGGAGAAACAGACGTCTGTGTTACGCACCGCCCATGCAACGGTGGGCGTTGGGAGCTCTGCTTGCATTCCTCCAGTGGAGGCTGGCCAGATCATGGGTCGGTCCCACTTAAGAACGGCACACGAAACGAAATACGGAACGAAGCCTGCGGGCTTAGCTCAGTTGGTAAGGCACAGAATTTGCATTCAGGAGGTCGTGGGTTCAATCCCCATTGGCCTCACGTGGGTGCCTGGGCAAGCTTGGTGTTCTACCAGCTAGAGATAACCCGTTGGCTCTCCAAGCCAGCATTGGCAGGACCTTGGCCAAATATTGTTGGCTGCTATGCAGCAATGATATTCGCCATTAGACACCCCTAATGTGGGGTTGGAGGGGGGTAGGGGGAGGTGCAAGTGACTGGCCAAAGATGCTGGGCACTACCATCGCCGGTTTAGGCCGTGGGCAATGCCTGATCACCCTGCATCATCGTGATGAGGGGCTGATACAAGCCTTGCTCTCGCACCACTGCTGTGGTGCAAACCTACCCCGTGGGCTGGGGAGAGTTCCAGGTTTGGTTGGTGTTCCCTCGTACTATACATAGAGTAGCGCGAGGATGAGATAGAATATATGCAAGCGAAAAAATAAAAATAAAAAAAAATGAACGAATGTATTTTGCGGCCCTCTGTGGCCAGATGCAGTTGTTCCCTTTTTCGTTTCGTGTGCCGTGTGGCGAGGCCCATCCTAGCCTTAAATGACGAAGAGATCGATGGCCAATGTCCGTTAATCTGTGCGACTGGCGCCTGGCCCTACGCTCCAAAGCTTTTTTCCTTTTTTTGGCTGAACGGTTCCCTTGTCTAGATGACGAGAATACAGCAAAAAAAGAAAAAAAGAAGAAGAGTACACATAGGGATTCGACGAGAAGCCCGCCTTCAATACGCAAAATGCCCACGCGTTCTATTCGCGGGAATTGTTTTTATTTTGTTTTTTTTTGGGGGGGGGAAGGGAAACCGGGATGATTGTTGAAGCCTGCCTAAAGCGCGTAGCGCCGAGAAAACCAAAACGCCTCGACTCGAATTCTGAGAAGTGTCCTTTGCCATCCATTAAAATTGGAACGATACAGAGAAGATTCGCATGGCCGCTGCGCACTCAAGGATGACACGCATAAATCGAGAAAAATTCTGAGAAGTGAAAAAAAACAAAAAAACAGCCTGCATCCACGAGATGTACGGATAAAGATAGTCCGCCCGGATACACCCGCTGGCCCATTCTCCCTCTCCTGAGATTAACCCAGGCATTCTGCATCTGCGCGATGCAAGCGGCAAGGTGCATTCATGGGCGCCTGGGCGGCAGGCCCCTGGGCGTATATCAGGTACAGGGAAAAAGTCGCAGGTGTCTCGGCGTTTTCCGAAAAAACAGAGTCCCAAAAAACACAGAGACAGAGAGAGGGGAGAAAATAGTCATTGCTAATTCCAGGCCCCACGCGATCGATGCAGAGGAGAAACAGGACTTACACGAATGAGGAAATAATATGAAATTGCAAAAAAATTGCTGAATTGTTGAGTTTCTCGATTTATGCGTGCCATCCTTGCGCAGAGGCTATGCTAATCTCCTCTCTCTGTATCGTTCCAATTTTAACGGATGTCGAAATTGCTGAATATCTTGAGTTTTGGATCGTCCAGCTTCACTTTGGCACTGCTTTCCATAGACCGCTCCGACCGTTGCAGGTACTGAACTTCAAAATTCAAGGAGAAGAATGGTGGGGGAAAAAAGAAAAAAAGCGAGTGAGTGGGCGAGTGGATGAATGTGTGTGTGGTAGTGGTTGGGGGACAGGGCGCCCGGTACCTTTTTCCTTTTCTCCCTTTTCGCCCATGGTTTCGCCAATGTATATAAATATGGCCATCATCATACATATATATCGTCAATAGTCAGTCACAGAGAAAACAAGCGCAAATGAATTCTGAAGCGAGACCAAAAACGAGCTGCTACGGGGTCCCCGTATGCCTAAAACTAGTAGTAGTGGTGGGTAGGTAGTGTGAGGTGAGATTGAGGGGGGGGGGGGGAAAAAGAACAGAAATCTAAAACCAGTAAAAGACAAGCAAACTCGGAAAAATAGCCTCAACGCAGAAACACACCAAGAGCGGGCCACAGAGAGAGAGAGAGAGAGAGAGAGAGAGAGAGAGAGAGAGAGAGAGAGAGCATCTCATACCTCGGCATAAATATCCGTGAACGTTCCCCCTCGATCCACGCAGAACCGGAAAGGTCGTCCGCATTTAATACCGTCCGCCATCGCCATCGAAGCAGGAGGTGAAGGTTGCTGATCAGAAAAACGTCCTGCAAACGAGCGACGAGTCGGCTCCGTGGATGTATCGTTCGCACAATTCCTGCACCCCCACCCCCCCCGCCTCCTCCTACCTACTGGCCTCTCGTCACGCAGCCTAAGCTCAAAACCACATACCTCTCTCTCTCTCTCTCTCTCTCTCTCTCTCTCTCTCTCTCTCTCTCTCTCTCTCTGTGTGTGTGTGTGTGTGTGTGTGTGTGTGAAGAGACTCGCCTGCCTGGCCACAGGTTCAGGTTGCTTTCAACTGCGTGCGCCGCGGCGCGCCGGGCCGTATAAAAGACTCTGAGCCATCATCACCTTGCCAAATTTTGGGATATCATCAGCTTGGCTGCGCTCAAGGCCCGAGTCGGAACAGCGAACATACACCCGGAAAGCCAGGTGACTTAACATAGGCGGCTAAGCTTACTAAACGTTTTGCACAACGCTGACGCTGAAACACTGAAATGCACCACCTCGATTTCTCCCGCTGGCGCGTTGCTTGGTACATGGTAAAATGGCAAAAACCGAGCTTTCGAAAATTGAATGCAGAGTTATCGCGAACGGAAACCGGGAACGAAGGCGGATTCTACCCCTCCTGAATTACGACCCGGCCTCACAAGGCAAGACGAATCAGCCCCACAAGGTAGGACACAGCGGCCCCACAAGGCAAAGACATGCACCACGGCCCCACAAGGCAAAGACATGCACCACCCAAAATAGACCCGACTAAAGCTCCCGCGCACGCTCCCGGAATAGAACCAAATAAATTTGGCGCTCTCACTCCGCACGCCCGCAAACGAGAAATTGTGAGGTTAAGAAAAAGAAAAAGAAAAAATTAAAAATAATACATATATATATATATTTGACGATATATATAGATATATATGTTGTCTTCTTCTCTCTCTCTGCCTACGGTTTACCGGGCAGTTCTGTTTGTGACGATATATATATATATATCGTCAAATAATATATATATCGTCATATATATATATATATATATATATATGCCAGCGGCGTGTCTGGAGTGTATTTTTTGGCTGTGACAGACCTTTCTTTGTTTTGTGGGTGTTTTGCTGGCTTGTGATGGGGTGTGAACCGACAGTCTGTAGAGTTTTCCATCTGGTGTGGGTGAGTGATAGTCTACTTTGATTTTGGTTAAGGTGGATTATCACTTACAGTGTAATCAGTGAGGGGATTCTACAGACTGTTGAGGGTTCAGCCTCCTGATGAGTCGGTGAAACTCCGACGAAACAGTTTGTCACAGCCCCTCGTTTGTTGTCCTCTTCTCCCTCTCTGCCTACGGTTTACCGGGCAGTTCTATTTGACGATATATATATATATATATAGTCACAAATAGAATATATCCTGTCTCTTATACACATCTAGATGTGTATAAGAGACAGGTCTATATATATATATATATGTACGATATATATCGTCAAATAGAACTGCCCGGTAAACCGTAGGCAGAGAGGGAGAAGAGGACGATATATATATATATATATATATATATATATATATATATATATATATATATATATATATATTGTGTGAGGTAGCTATGCTTTAGGAGTAGTCGTCCGTAGGTGGTGAAAGGCAAAAAAGAATTTTTTTGAGAGAAGAATAAAGAGTACTTTTACAGAGAAAAAAAAAAAGAAGTGTGGATTTTTTTTTTCTGCCTTCTCCTCATTGGGGGACGGCCATATATTTTTTCTCTGTTTCGGGCTTCCCTTCCCCCCCCCCGTGTTTCGGGTGGCCATAGGCCAGTTTGCAGGCCTGCGTGGCACGGCTAGGAGGCCAGGACAGAGAATGTGGCCACGGTAGCTAGCATGGCTGGCCAACGCGGCTAGCTTGCGTGGCCAATCGAAACGAAACCAAGGGCCTCGCCACAGCACTCTCGAAATGTGAAAAAGACAAAAATGTGGCGGGTGCATCTGGTCATGTTCTAGCGGGAAGTTCATTCTCACTTTGCCCATTTCGAGAGTGGTGCGGTGATGCCGCAATTCTTTGAACTCGTGATCTTCACATCGACAGTTACATTCGTGCACCGTTCAGTCACATGGGGCCTCGCTCCACTACTCTCGAAATGTGCAAAACGAGAGTGAATCTTCTGCAAGAACATTGAAAGATACACAGCCATGATTTTTGTCTTTTGTGCATGTCGAGAGTAATGGAGCGAGGCCCATGGTCTGGGCGTGGCTGACTACTTGGCGAGGTGTGGCTTGGCTACTCGGCCACAAGTCTGGAGTGTGCCCATCCAGGGTCGGTATGCTCGGCCGTCGGAATGGCGCTCGCGAGCAATTGAAGTCAGGTGCATTCACGGGAATCCCAAGAACGCAACAACTCGACGCCCACCCCCGCGCTCGCGAAAGGGATTTGAGAAGATAACCCGCCGCGACAGGAAAACGAACAGGCAGGAAAAGCAACCGCACGGCGGGGAATCGTACACATCTAGAGTTCGAAAAACGACAAAGAAAAACTGAGGAAAACGACAAAGAACGCGACATTGGCGCCAAGACAACGAAAAGGCGAAGGCCATATAAACGGAATGATAAATGCAAAGGTCCCCACATGTTTTTCCAGGGAGTCTTATGCCGCTCTTTGCAATTTTCGGGATGACATTCTTGCGAAATTGACGGAACCCACCGTATGTGGCTGAATGGCCCTATAAACGGGTGGTAAATGGACGGGAGTTTTTTTTCCCTTTCTTTTTTCTCCTTTTTTTTTCCCCCTCCTCATCCGGGGACCATGTCCCACAGGCTCTCTTGCGCTAGGTCGACGTTTAGTTTTTGACCCTGTGTGACTGTAGGCCACGACGGAGATGCATGTAGTCCAAGTGCATGTAGTCCAAGTGATCTAGCGGTCGGTTTTTCTTAATAAAAAAGGCAATAGAGACTATCGTCGCTTTTTCTTCCAACACAAAAGACGAAGGAAACCTTTCTTTGGAATACTATGCCCCCTACCCTCGTGACATTCCTTTGAGTTAGCTGTCTCCTTTTTTCGAGACAGCCAGCTCGCCGACCCTCGTATTCCCCCAAAAGGCATTTTTTTTCTGGAGAAACTGTACGAGCCTCCTTTCGTTTGCCATTTTCGTACGGGATTCTCGCAACTCTTCATTTTCTGCTGTGGAAATGCCCCTATGCCACTCCAATTGTGAAAAAAGAAAAAACAGAACAATTGTATCCGAGCTATTTATAAATGCATTTCTCATTTTCAATCGAACATTTTCACCTGTCTTACTGTTGAGTTGCCTCAACTAAAAGTTGCAAGTGGGACATGGTCCCGGGGAACTGCACACTGCACAGGTCTAGTCCAAATAAAATAGAGAATTCTCATACCTTTGATGATGCCAGATCGAATAGGAGAGTCGCGGAGTTGGGGGCTGCAGGCCCACACACCGTGGGAAGATTGAGGGTGGGTGGGACTGCTTCGCCAAAATTGGCGAAGGAGAAATGACTCTCCTCAGACCAGCTGACGGAAGTGACTGTGTGACTGCAGAATTGAGTACGCACTGAGTGCTGCTGGCGGTCGGTCAACTGAGGGAGGTTCGAGGGAAGTCCAGCAGATTCAGCAATTTCCGCAGCCTGCCTCCACTGCGGCGCTGGCGGAAACTTATACCGTCGCGGACGGAGGGAGTAGTGCCATCCGGGCCAGCGACGTCCAGATGCATCCTGGGTGAGTCCCTTGGTCCTTGGTCCTGATCCAGTTGCCTCAGCCTTGGTCCTGATCCAGTTGTCTCAGTCGTAGGTCCCAAAACCAACCTCCTCCTCGTAGTCGTTGATCTCGATCCGAATGCCCTGCAGTCCTTGGTCCAGACCGAACTCCAACTCCAACTAAGTGTCGTGAATAATGCTGATACCTTGGTCCAGATACACTGTCAGTAGTATTGAGTGTGAATGTGAACCGTAGATCTTATGAATGTGTGGGTGCGAAGAAGTGTTGCCGAGTAGTAGTGTGTGAGGAAACGATTCTGTTACCGAAACGACTCGGTAACTGATGGTGTCCGCTAGTGGTGACCGAGGTAAGGAAAGGCCAACTGTGACACGTGGTAGGACAATTGCTGCACAGGTCTAGTCCAAATAAAATAGAGAATTCTTATACCTTTGATGATGCCAGATCGAATAGGAGAGTCGCAGAGTTGGGGGCCGCAGACCCACACACCTCTTGAACCATCCCATCTCCCCCCATCGTCCCACAAGTGACGTGGTCGTCTTGCAGGGAATGGTGGAATGAGCGCATGAGCAATGGAAGCTGGCGACAGAAGAGAAGCACTCTGGAGCATGAAGGAGACTACGAGAGCGGGTTGGAGTGGTGCAACAATGTAATTGATGAGTTTGGGAGCGGGCGACGATTGCGCAATGGAATGCGGAAATTATTGTTTGGGTTGAATGAGTGGTTGGAGAGAAACAATGTTGGGCGAGATTGCATGCGATGCATTGATCTGGATATTTTATCCTTTATAAGCAGCCAGTGGTTGATAGAGGTGGAGGGGCGGTGCCGAACCGCAGATTTAGAGGGAACTCCTATTGTATCTCCTTCCACTGTTGATGCTGTCATAAACTTCTTGAGCAACAACTTTCAATTGTTAGGGAGGGAGAGTGATGACCCTTGTCAGAGTAGTCGAGTAAAGGCGTTTCGAAAAGTGTATCGAGAGTATGCACTGCAGAGGGGGTTGGATGAGTCGGCACGACCGTTGCAATGGGAGAAGTTAGGAATTGTTATACAGTATATCATGAATAAAATTTTGGCATTAAAGGGAGTGGCGGAAGCCGAGGCATACAGGGATGCTTCAATCTTACTTTATTTATAAGAAATTTGGCAGCGGTGCGGAGAGAGATTACGTTTACAGTATTCGAAAATCAACATAGGGAAGAGGACGGTGAGACCTGGATATACAAAAATTGATCGGCAAGGTGGAAGATTCTTGATAAGATTGCGTGAGCCTATAGAGGGGGAAGAGACATTTTTAGGAATTCTGGGTGATTTGATAGCTGCTTATAAACGGATAGGGCAGGATGTGAGAAGTGGTTACTTGTTGTGAGGTCGTTGTAGCGGTGGTGCACTAGGTGGTAGTGGATTCAATAAGCGAATTGAGACGTGGTTTGGGAAGGCGGAGGTGGTTGAAAGGGAGACAGGGCATAGTTTCCAATTAAGTGGAGTTCAGGCTGGAATAGAGGAAAGATGGAGTTTGGGAGAGATGATGCGTCAGGGGACTTGGAAGAGTGTGGGAACGTTTATGCGGTATGGGTATGAAATGAAACGCGGTTGGAAGAGGAAGGGTGAAAATTAAGTTTGAAATAAGAAAGCCTTGAGATTGGATAAGGCGGGATTGGAGTAGGATGGATGGACTCTCGGACTAGGAATGCAGGAGAATGGGGATTGGGGAAT